ACTGTAGAAGAATTGATGCTTTTGAGTTATGATGTTGGAGGAGAATATTGAAAGTGCCATGGGCTTCCAAAAGAACCACCAGATCTGTGTTGGAAGAAGTGCAGCCAGAGTGCTCCTTGGAGGCCAGCATGGCCAAACTTTGTCTCTCATACTTCAGACATATCGTCAGGAGGGACCAGTTGCTGAAGAAGGATATCATGTTTGGTAGGTTGGAGGGTCAGAGAAAAAGAGGAAGACCCCCAGCGAGATGGATTGGCCAAGTGGCAGCATTAATGGGCTCGAGTGTGGCAATGATAGTGAGGTTGGCCCACGATTGGGCAGTGTTTCATTCTATTGTGCATAAGGTCACTATGAGTTGGTACTGTCTTGATAGCACCTAACAACCACAACAACAATTATGTGCTTTAAGCCAAGATTCATCTGACACCAACAATGATATCTGAATCTGACTTGAATTTCTGGCAGTTTCCTTTCACTATACTGCTGCAACAATTTAAAAATTATCTTCAGCAAAATTTTACTTATATGTGACATTAATTATTAGATAATTCTACATCCTGTTGGATCACCTTTCTTTGGAATGGGTACAAATATGGATCTCTTCCAGTCATTTGGCTAAGTACCTGTCTTCCAGATTTCATGTCAGAGACAAGTGAACAGTTCTAGCATTGAATCTGCTTGTTGAAACAGCTCAGTCAACAGTCCATCAATTCCTGGAGCCTTGTGTTTTGCCAGTGCTTTCATTTTAGTTTGGATTTCTTCCTTCAGTACCATCACTTCTTGATCATATGCTGCTTATTGAAATGGTTGAACATGTACCAATTCTTTTTTGGTACAGTGGCTCTGTGTATGCATTCTATCTTTTTAAAAATTCTTTCTGCAGCATTCAACATTTTGCCATAGCGATACCAAGGTGAATTTGTATAACATAGTCCACACAGACATTGTTCTGAATCCTACTTTAGTGATTAGCGACTGAAGTCTTGTGAGCTGCCATCTAAGGTGCACCTATTAGTCTCTACCCATCCAGATCAAAGAAAAGTGAAGAAAATTGCAGGTGCATGGAAACAATTAGTCCAAGAGACTAATGAACTATCAAACCTCAGCTTCCACCACCCTGAGACCAGAAAAACAAGGTGGTACTCAGCTACCACTACCACAAATTCAGAAATGGATCACATTAGAAAGTCCTGAATAAAGTGGGAGAAAAATGTGGAACAAAATGCAAAGTCATCAAAACGACCAGGCTTACTGATCAGATAGAGACTGGTGGAACGCATGAGACAATGGCCCTTAGTCACTCTTCAGTCTTGGAACTGAACTCACCCTCTTGGTTCAATTTTCTGCCTAACAATAGACCATTTTATAAAGGGAACAGTAACGCTCGAGAAGTGTGCACTCCTTAGAATAATCAGTCACTTGAGACTCAAAGGGTGGCATGTGATTAAGGACAAAGTTTAGAATACAGGAAAGGTTTAGGGACAATGGAGGAATGGTACCAAGAAGCACAAGGAGGGAATGGGTTAAGTGGATTTACTTCGTGGAGATTGCACCCAATGACATGAAACAAAATCAGTTCTGTAAACCTTCACCCAATAAAAAACAAACAAATATATTGCCTCATACAATCCTTCAGTATTCCATCTAGAGGGTTGAATTTTTTTTCTTCAGTTCTTGCATCTTAAGAAATGCCGAACATGTTCCTTCCTTTTGGTTTTCTAACTCCAGTCTTTGTACATCCATTAGAACACTCTGTCTTCTCAAGCCACCTTTTGAAATCTTCTGTTCAGCTCTTTGACTTCATTGTTTCTTCCATTTGCTTGAATTATTCTATATTTAAGAGTAATTGTCTTGGCAGCAACACCAGCCATTATACCTTTGACTAAAGGCAGACAATAGAGGAAAGACAGAAGCAAGTGGCGGTGTAGTTGGGGAGGTGATGGCTCATCCAGGCCATCTGTGCTGGTCTGAGGCACTAGACCTAGCTGCAGTAGGTAGCAGCTGCCACTGAGAATGTTTCACTCTCTGAGAATGACCAAAGCCAGTGACTGACTGATGAGGGGAACATAACCCTCACCTCCCCAGGACAACTCTGAAGAGTTGTAGGATGCCTGAGGCCCTGCCTCTTTCACTTATTAAAGGCATAGCTCCTAAGAGTCCTCAGTAAACTTTATGCCTCAACCTCAGAGTCTGTCCCAGGACACTCAGTCTAAGACAGCCAGCTATGTCGGATCCCTTACGAGGCAAGCAAATGCATTTCCATACCCACTGCTCCCACCTCCATCCTGGAGCTGACCTCTACTCTCTCACTGGCCAGATTGAGCTCTAACTTCAAGAGAGTCGGGCCCCATTGCTACTCTTAACAATAACAGGACTGTGCTATCAGAGGAGAATCCAGAAGTAGATGTTGGATGTCACTAACTGTCACAGTTTTAGAGACTTGAAAACCACGTATTTTATCAATTTGTAGCTAATGTTGAAGTGGAAGGATAGTTAATGTTTCTGAGACAACATTCTACATATTTTGTAATAATGCGCCATTTTCCTTATATTTCCTATACTTTGAAAACTTCCACGTATAGTTGTTGTTGTTATTATGTGCTGTCTAGTCAGTTCTGACCCATAGTGACAGGTGAGTTTGAACCACCGACCTTGTGGCTCAAACCGACTTTGCAGTCCAGTGCATTAACCCACAGCACCACACCAGAACCTATGTGTTGGCAGTTGAGTGCTTTAACCACAACACCACCAGGGCTTCTCCAGACAAGGATACAGGCAGAGAAATGCAGCATTAGAGGATGACGGACAGTGGGCAGTTGTGAGAGGAATAAAAGAACTCGTCATCCTCTGATGGGTTCCAACTCAGAGCCTTTCAGTACCATTTGTACCATCAAAGCTCCTTGAAATTGCTGACAGGACTTTTAAACTGTGGGCAAGTTGCAACCACTACCAACATAAAAGCAACCAATCCAAGACTTTGTACTGTACAAACAACGTTTATTTGGATGTGGCTGTTCAGTCAGTATTGAACAGTAATCATCCAGACAGCTGCCAGGCAATAAAATGACAGTGAATGGTAGCTTTTCAAGATACCAAGGTGATTAGATAGTGAGCAGTAAACTGTAGCGAAGCCCCCTCTCCCACCCCAGGAGCAGGACACAGGTGATACAGAACTGTAAGCCCCAGAATCATTGGACAAGTCTTTCTCACAAAATAACTTACTTCATTTCAAAATGGCAGCAGACACAGGCCTCACAGGGTTGTGGCCCGCTCCGCCTGCATCAGGAGAAACACAGCACAGAGATGATGAGGGGCTGAAGCTGAGCTGGGACCTTTCAGCTTCCTTTGGAAAAACATTTTCCTTGAAATCAAGCACCATGATTTTACGTTTTGTGTAAGCAACTCTATAGTCTTTTCTTTGAGAATGATTCCAAAGTGCAAATGTGGAGATCTTGGTGGGTCTACCTGGTTGAGGGCACTTGGGTGGCAGCCTTGTCTCTCCAGAGGCCACAGTGGGCAAAGCAACATTCAATCTGTTGATGCAAGGAGTGTGGGTGATACAGCACAATTCTTGTGACAGCCGTCTTTTCACTTTCTACTGAGGTGATCCACTCCAACACTTCCTCCTACATGGTGGGACACGAGCCCAGACAAGAATTCTTGATGTTATGTTCCAGTCTATTTCACCAAGAGTCTTTGCCAAAGGGCAAGGTGGTTTCCTTGGAGGGCAAGTTATGGAGGCCTGGCACAGGGGTGTTGCAGCTCTTTTGTTTTCTGAATGATCTGACTTAAGAAGAATTAGGCCCGGCCTTCCCCACTCCCTCCCTTGCCAGTTTTCCGACCTTCCCTTAGGCCTTACCAACCAGTTTTAATCCCCTGTGTGTCACAGTAGAACTGTGCCCATAGGGTTTTCATTGGCTGATTTTTTCAGAAGTAGACCCCCAGGCCTTTTTTCTGAGGCAACTCTGGGTGAACTAGAACCTCCAGTAACTATTTGTACTGGCCAAATACGCCTTACTTTATAACAATTATGTCCAGTCAATCAGTTATACTCCCCACAAAATCCCCTCAAAGTTTATTTGAAGCAGATATTCCTTGGATCCCAATCTGGAAGGAAATGGAGGGGAAGAGGGGGGTCAGCTATGTGGCCTGTTCTTGTTAGCTTCCTAGGAAGAGTTGGTGGGGTGGTGGGAGAGTTGGTTTGGTGATGAGAGATGCTGAACCAGCATTTGTGGACCAGCGGGCAGTGCACTGGTTATGAATCGGGCTGCGAACCTCAGGGTCAGAAGTTCGAAACTACCAGTTGTTCGTGGGAGAAAGACGAGGCTTTCTGCTCCCATAAAGATTTACAGCCTTGGAAACCCTGTACAGGGTTGCTATGAATTGGAACCGACTCCATGGCACATAACAACAACAACAACATTAGACCTAAAGGAGTCTTGGTGTGGTACTGTGGGTTAATGTGCTGGACTGCAAAGTCAGTTTGAACTGCAAGGTCAGTGGTTCAAGTTTACCAGCTGCTCCTTGGAAACCCTATACAAGGTCATTTTGGGTTGGAACCAACTTGATGGCACTTAACTACAACAACATTAGAACTAAAAGCATCAATGACTGAATGTTCCCCTGAACCTACTATAGGAAACCCCATTGCTGAGATGTGACAGCGGTGGAGTTGAGTGGATTCTCAGTAGTAAGGACTTTGGAAATTCAGTTTCTAGAATCATGCTCCTTGTCAGATAATTTCAAGAGTCGGTTACTTTCCCAGGCAAAAGAAAATAACAACTTTTTCATATTTGACAGAATGAAACAAAATGTTCAAATGGTTATGTCCAAATTTAGCTCCATCACTCAGGCCAAAATGGTGTTATATTGGTCCCATAGATGCTTTAGTCCATCTTCTTTAGTAGATCATCCAGATGGGAGTGAATGAAAACGACTTTTGGGTCCAATATTCCAGGATTTTCAGAGTACTCCCCACGGTGACATTGGTCTCTGGTTCCTCAGTGGTAATAGATGCTGAAGGCATGGAGAATGTAGAACAAGGTGGTGATAAAGGCAAAGAACTGGAAGAAGATGGGGAAATTGTGTGTTAGAAATGGCCTGCCCCTGCAGCTTGGCTGGGTCCCCTCTCCACCCTACGCCCTGCCTGGCCTGGGGTCAGCAACCACTACCCAGCCTCATCCTCCTTGACTGCTGAGAAACTTCTGACCGAGCAAACTACTCCATCCTCCTTGAAACTCTCCATCCATGGGTATTCCTGCCCCCTTTCTGCTGGTGTGCCGTTTCCTCTTCTGCCTGGCCATAGAGAGAGCATGCCTCAGTCCCTTACCTGCTCTTCTTCACCATCTTGCCCCCCAAGTGGTCTCTTCCATACCAATCTTCAGTTACTGTCTACATTCTGGGACTCCCACAATTTTACTCTCTGGTCTAGAACTCTGCTCTGAGCTCCTGCTTGTTGGCTCCTCTTGAATGCCTTGAAGATACCTTGAGCTCTTAATGGTCCAAAAAGAGCCTTTGATATTTCCTCACAGGCCTCACAAGTTCAGTCAGTCTCCTTCAGTCACCCAAGCCAGAAACTTACAGACCTTCAGACTCCTCTCTCCCTCACCTTCCATGTCCAAAGCCTTTCCCAAGGTCTACTGATTTTACTTCCCAAGTGTCTATTGATATGTCTCCTTTGCCATCCCTACCACCAACATGGTTGCCCACTCTTTGTCAAGCCCTCCAGCAAGCAGCCCTTGCCAGGTCTGCTGGGTTGCTTTATGACTTATTCACTTTCTTTCTACCCTGCCATCTGTCAGTCTCCTCCAGCCAAAATGGAACCATGTTGTTCTTGTGCTTAATACTATATGATTACTACCCCCTCTTTTTCAGGATAAAGGCCATAACCCTTAACACACTTTCAAGTGCCAGCCACCCTCATTTCGGCCCATTGTCCACTCACACTCTGTTCTCATTCGTTTGCTTATTCATTCATTCATCCAACAAATGTTTTATAAACATCTACTGTATTTCAAGAAATATTCTTGGTGGTGCTGTGGGTTAGGTGTTGGGCTGTTAACCACAAGGTTGGCAGCTCAAATCCACCAGCTGCTCCTTGGCAGAAACATGAGCCTGTCTGCTTCTTAACAATTTTGTAAACCCTAGGGAGCAGTTCGACTCTTTCTTATAGGGCTGCTCTGAGTCAGAACTGACTCCATGGCAGTGCTGGGGGGTGGGGATACTTCAAGAACCACTGTAATTATGATCGTGAACAAAAAGTCCCCAAATTCCTGGAGTAAGAAACAGGAAAAAAATGTAGACTGTATAGTAGGTTTATTATTGTTAAGTGCCATCGAGTTGATTCAGACTCATAGTGACCCTGTATAAGGTTTCCCAGGAGTGGCTGGTGAGTTTGAATTGCCAACCTTGTGGTTCAAACCAACCTTTCAGTCCAGTGTTTTATCCCACAGTGCCACAGTAGATGATGATAAGTATCAAGGAGAAAATATAGTAATAGAGGGGGAAAGAGTGGGCTGGCACAGGAGGGAGTGTACCAGGGATGGCCTCACTGAGACAATAACATTTGGGTTAAGACCAGGAGATGATGTTAGTTGTCATGTTGATACCTGGAGCAAAGACTTTACTGGCAAAGGCCCTGAGGTGAGTGCACATGTGCAGTGTAGTCAGGGGACAGTAAGGAGTCCAATGTGGCAGGAGAGCAGATCAGAGTGGTGAGGGGCCAGGTCATGGGGGCTAGGGAAGGGGCATTGCTCAGTTCTTCCACAGGTCACGTTCCCTCCTACCACTGCTCTGCTGCCCCACTTAGCTCTCAGTCTGGCATGCCGCCCCACCTCAACTCCTCAGTCTTTAATCCAGTTACTCCTCCTTGTCCTTGTAGGATCTCAAATCCAGAGCCCCCTCCTGCACAGAGTCAAGTTCCCAGGTAAGTCTCTTGGGACTGTGTGCTCCTCTTGCCTAGAGCTCGGTTTCTTAGATTCTAATTTTTATTCATGACCATGACTATCTGGTTGTGGTAGGCCTCTCTGCCCCATCTATGAGCTCTTGAGAGCTGGGCAGGGTATGCTCTGCTTACCTTTGTGTCCTCAGTGGCTGGTCAGAGCCAGCACTTAGTAACTATCAAATGTATGGGTGGACAGATCAGAACCAGAGCCTTGAAGATGGGCTGAGCCAATCAGACTGTCTCTCTCAGAGCCAGCACTTAGTAACTATCAAATGTATGGGTGGACAGATCAGAACCAGAGCCTTGAAGATGGGCTGAGCCAATCAGACTGTCTCTCTCAGAGCCAGCACTTAGTAACTATCAAATGTATGGGTGGACAGATCAGAACCAGAGCCTTGAAGATGGGCTGAGCCAATCAGACTGTCTCTCTCAGGAATCTGTAACCCCAGCTGGCAGTTGGGCTGAAAGGGGAAGGATGCTCCAAGGATAAGTAGGGGCTGTGGCTAACCCAAGCTATGAGCACTGGGGTTTAGAGGAGGGAACTGGTGATAGAAACAGGCAGCCTGATTGGATCTCTGTTTCTAGTCCTCTCATGAATCCTGATACAATTAACAGCAGGAGAAGTCTGAACCCCTCTGCCGTCCATGCGGGTAGCGAACCTCCAGGAAAAATACAGTGGGCTTCCAGATTTTATCTGCTTGGCCACTTAATAGAAGGGAAAATAGAGGCAGGGAGTGGGATGGTATGCTTTAACTTGTATGACACACATGTCTGTAGCATAAGAGGGAATTGAAAAGAAGACGTTTTCTCAATTTGTTCAGGCTTGTAGACAGAGGATCCTGTTTTTAAGACTTTCCAACCCAGACTGACCTTCTGGATTTCTTGCCCCTAGATTACACAGAAGTAAGACCCTGTTATAACTTTGCTATCAATTAAACCTCAGAGAAGTCACATCTCTAAGACCTGGGATTATGAGAGGATGCTGAGCTCTGAGGCAGCAGATGTTGGGCTGTCAGAGAGCACAACTCCCTGGGACCCCACCCCTAGGTTTGCAAGGCATGTACCTTCTACTCTGGGGAAGACAGAAAAGTACTCAGACCTACAACAGTCTCATTGTAGTGAAGGAGCTCATGACAGAAACACTGTACCAACAAGGAGAGTGCCTAGTCTGCTCTGGGGTTGGAGATGGTTCACTGGGATATTCTGTGAAAGATGATAGGTGGATGAGGCAAGAGAGAGTTTCTGACAATTAGTCCAATGGACTAATGGACCACTTGAGCATCAGTCTCCACCAAAAGAACTAGATGGTGCCCAGCTACCACTACCAACTGCTCTGAAAAGGATTACATGAGAAGATCTTGAATAGATGGGGAGGAAAATGTGAAAGAAAAATCAAAATCATGAAGAGTATCAGGCCTCTTGGTTGAATTAGACACTAATGATTAAAAATCAGAGGAGTTGTGGGGTGACATTAAGAACATCACACATGAAGAAAGCAAAAAGTTCACTGAAAATACTGGTAAGAAAGAAAAGAAGACACTCTAAAACTTGCTCTTTTTGGAGCAACTGAGCCAAAGGTCCCTGGCTTGGGACCTAGTTTAACCAAAGGATTGCAACTGAACAGTTGTGGTCCAGAAACTCGGGCTGCTTCCAAGTCAAGTCCCACCCCTGAGGAACTTGCAGGGTTGCCTCAGGGGACAGGGAACTTGCAAGGGCTTTCCTTGTATTTAGTTATGTCCTTCAGCTCAGCCTGCGCAAAATTCTAGCTGCCTTAATCAGTATTCTAGCTAGCTACCACAAGTTACAATTTTTCTGATGAAGATCTGCTTACTGCTGGCTCCTTCAGTAGAAGATGCTCTTGTACTTCTTACCCTCCCTCAAGTATCTCCCCTTGAGCTGTGTTTAAAATAAACTCACTGCCTTGGTCTTTGCTGCAGTATCTCCATCAGAGTGCTGCATCCCACCTGGTCTCAACTATACTATTTTCAAATGTGTCTTGTGCTCTTCTTTTATTTTTCATCTCCCGTCGCCCCTACTCAGGTTTAATCTCTCCAAGCGGGTCGCAGAGAAAAGCCAATTTAAGATGCAGCAGTTGACCCCAGTGGCTCTTGAGTATAGAGAAGCTAAAGAACTGGAGGAAATGAGAAAGTAGAAGAACTGAACTGAATATGACCTCGGGCAACTCGAGAAGATAAAGTCAAGTATTATAATGAAATGTACAGAGATCTGGAGTTAGAAAACCAAAAGGGAAGACCATGCTTAGCATTTCTCAAACTGAAAGAACTGAAGAAAAAATTCAAGCCTTGACTTTTAATATTGAAGGATTCTATGAGCAACATACTGAATGACACAGGAAGTATTGAAAGAAGGTGGAAGGAATATGCAAAGTCACTGTACCAAAAATAATGGTCAATGTTCAACCATTTCAAGAGGTAGTATATGATCAAGAACTGATGGTACTCAGAAGAAGTCCAAGCTGCACTGAAGGCACTGACAAAACTCAAGACTCCAGGAATCGATGGAATACAGACTGAAAAGTTTCAACCACCTGATGCAGCACTGGAGGTGCTCACTCCTCTATGCCAACAAATTTTGAAGGCAGCTACCTGGCTAACAAATTGGAAGAGATCTATATTTGTGCCCATTCCAAAGAAAGGTGATACAATAGAATGCAGAAATCATTGAACAATTTCATTAATATCACAAGTAAATTTTTTCTAAAGAGAATTTTTTTTTTGCTAAATTCTTGTTAAACATAATAAACTATAAGTAAGATTTTTCTGCAGATAATTTAAAAATGGTTGCAGCAATACATGAACAGACAACTGACAGAAATTCAAGCTGGATTCAGAAGAGGACATTGAACTAGGGATATCATTGCTGACATCAGATGGGTCTTGACTGAAAGTAGAGAAAACCAGAAAGAAGTTTACTTATGCTTCATTGACTGTGAAAAGACTGTGTGGATCATAACAAACACTGGATAACATTGCAAAGAATAGGTATTCCAGAACACTTAATTGTGCTCATGAAGAACCTGTACAGTGACCAAGTGACAGCCATTTAAACAGAAAAGGGGATACTGAATGGTTTAAAATCAATAAAGGTGTGCACAGGGTTGTATCCTCTTGCTATACTTATTCAGTCTGAATGCTGAGCTAATAATCTGAGAAACCAGATTATATGAAAAAGAACATGCCATTAGGATTGGAGAAGGGCTCGTTAACAATTTTCAATATGCACAGGACACAGCCTTGCTTCCTGGAAGCGAAGAGAACTTGAAATACTGATGGAGATCAAAGACTACAGCTTTCAGTATGGATTTCACTTTAATATAAGGAAAAGGAAAATCTTCACAATTGGACCAATAAATAGCATCATGATAAATGCAGAAAAGATCAAAGCTGTCAAAGACTTCATTTTACTTAAATCCACAATCAGTGCTCATGGAAACATCAGACAAAAGACCATATGAATGGCAATGAAATGATATACAATAGGGTGAATGTAAAACTAATGTTCTCCCATGTAAACTATCACATAATTCACAATAAAACTTTTTTTTTAAGTGAGAAATCATATGAAGTATTGCATTGGGCAAATATGATGTACAAGACCTCTTCAAAGTATTCAAGAGCAAAGATATCAGTTTGAGGACTAAGGTGTGCCTGGCCAAAACCATGATATTTTCAATTGCCTCATATGCATGTGAAAGTTGGACAATGAATAAAGAAGATTGTAGAAGTACTGCTGCATTTGAATTATGGTGTTGACAAAGAATATTGGAAGTACCATGGACTGCCAGAAGAACAAACAAATCTCTCCAGAAACAAGTGCAACCAGAATGCTCCTTAGAATTGAGGATGTTGAGACTTCATCTCTCATACTTTGGACATGTTGTCAAGAAAGACATCATTTTTGGAAAAGTGGATGGTCTGATACTTATGGATGTAGTAGCTCAAAAGAGGGAACAAATCTTTACAACGAGGATCATTCCCACCCCGTCAGTACACAGGATTGACAGGGCTGGGCAACTTAGACATTGTCTACCCAAAATGGGGGGGTGGGGCTACAAAGGCAAGAAGTGACTGGCTTACAAGCTTTCAAGAGGGAGCCTAGTTCCAAAGGGGCAGGGGAAGGTAGAATCTCCACTGAGTGGTTTCCAATCTGTTGGGATGGGGCTGATGAAAAGAGACAGGGATAGGACTCTCAAGGTACAATAGTGAATAATTGCTATCAGGACTGACTGTGAGGGTCAGAAATGTAGGTAGATGTTTTGTAACAAAAGGAAGGTAGTGGTTGATTTTGCAGTCCAGGAGTGAAAGTCCCTGGGACCATCAAGTTAGAAGAGCAGAGTGCAGGACCCTACCAAGAGAAACAGTGACACCAGAGATGGAGGCAGAGATGATGATGTGGAGAGACGGAGCAGCTGGGGACTCTGGACTCAGGGAGGGAAAGGGGCTGTGTGCTGATGGCCGGGGGCAGACTTGCGGGGTGTACCCTTTGGTTGTTTGATGATGCATGGAGGGGATTGTAATCATTGCAATGAAACAAAATACAATAGGATGAATATAAAGCTGATGTTCTCCCATGTAAACTATCACATAATTCACAATAAAAAAAATTTTTTTTAAGTGGATGGTCTGGAGCCTCTGCATTACATAAAACTATAGGTGGAAGCCTGAACCACATCCAGATCTTCAGAAATGGGAAATTTCCACTTGAAAGGACAAGAAGATCATCCTGGAGTGCCTAGAAGAACAGAAGATACTTCTTGAAAGAAAGACCTACAGGAAAAATACAAAACAATAGAGGCAGACTGACTGTTACTACAAGAACAAGCAAGTTGCTTGCCCAGGAAACATCAAGGCAAGTGGTTGGGTCCCCTCAGTGAAAACCTCCTTCCAAGACTAAGACTCAATGGGAATACATGCTCTGATTGGTGACCACGCTAGTCACCGATAAGGGGAAGTGAGGGAAAAACAGCAATGAACTGGCGAGCTAAGCCCTACAACGTTCAATAGACTCTTACGAACCTGGGTGGAGACCTGGTTGGCCAGCAGTGTGACAAGACCTAGGGACTCTTGGGCCCAGAGTCAGTGACATAGCCACAAAGGGTAGAGTGGAGAGTGAAGCATCCAGCTGATAAGAAGAGAGGGCATATGTACAAGAACACCCATACGTGCAGATAATACCCACTTGACCTGGCTTCAGTGACTGGATGATCAGAACTCAACCAGAAGAAGATAGAAGAGGAAAACAAAAAAAAAGAGACATCTGATACGATTTGATGAACTTGACCTATAGCTATGGATGCAGTAGCTCAAAAGAGGAAACAAATCCTTACAGCAAGGATCATTCCCACCCTCTCCACACAGAGTAGATAGGGATGGGCAACTTGGACATTGGCTACCCAAAATGGCGGGGTGGGGGTGGGGGGGAGTGTCCTACAAAGGCAAGAAGTGGCTGGCTGACAAACTTTCAAGAGGGAACCTAGATCCAGAGGGCTTGAAGGAAGGTAGAATCTCCAGTAAGTAGTATCCAATGTGTCTAGGCGGGGCTGATGAAATGAAATGCAGATAGGTCTCTTGTGATACAATAGTGAATAATTGTTATCAGGACTGATTGTGAGGGTTGGAAATGTAAAAGTAGATGCTTTGTAGCAAGGAGGGGAGTGATTAACATTTCAGTCTAGGAGCGGAGGGCCCTGGGACTATCAATGGAGAAGAGCAGAGAGTGGGACCCTACCCAGAGAAGAAGTGATGCCTGATATGGAGGCAGAGACGATGACGTGGAGAGATGGAGAAGCTGGGGACTTTAGATCCAGAGAGGGAGAGGGGCTGTGTGCTGACGACCGCGGTATACCCTTTAGTTGGTTGATGATGCATGGAGAGGATTGTAACCATGGCAATGAAATGATATACAATAGAATGAATGTAAAACTAATGTTCTTCCATGTAAACTATCACATAATACACAATAAAACATAAAAAAAAAAAAAAGTGGATGGTCAGCTAAGATGAGGAAGACCCCAACTTGCCACAGTGGTTGCAACAATGGGCTCAAACATAACAGTAATTGTGAGGATGTCATAGGACTAGGCAGTGTTTCAGTCTGTTGTTCAAAGGGTCACTATGAGTTGGAGGTGACTCAATTGCAACTGTTGAGACCCCCAAGACTACAAGCCCTGGTTACCCTTTAGACCTAGAACTAAACTCACCCTCCTGGCTCAATTTTCAGACAAACACCAGACAGGCCTTGAAGGGAGGTACATATACCTAAGAAAAATCAACCATATGAGATCAGAAGGGGAGCATTTACCCCAAGACAAAGTTCGGAAGGGTTAGGAAAGAAGGAAGCTTGGAAACAGAAAACACAGGCAATGGGATAAGTGATATTTCATTGTAGGGATAGTAATCACTGAGATGCAACGAAATGTATATGAATTGCTGAATGGAAAACTGATCTGCTCTGTAAACCTTCACCCAATCACAATAAAAGGTTTGAAAAAAAAGAAGAAGAAGAAGAAAGAATTTCTGTTGGAAAGAATGGCTAGAAAGAGGCACTGAGGAATGACATATATCATTAGTTCAATGAAGTCAAACTAGCTGAGATGGGACAAGAGGAAGACAGGCTGGAAAAGCAGGTGAAAATATTGTGGCCACTCTAGTGTATCAAACTGCTGTTTGCCTAGCACCCCATCCTTACTCTGAGGACAGTATCTCATCTCATGTTCCACCCCTTCCACCCTAGAGAGCTGCCTGCTAAGTTGTCCAAGGATTTGACCTTTCTGGTCATAGTTGACTGGCCCCAGGGTGGGCATAGCTTCAGTCTGAGTGTTAGAAGCCTTCCTTGGAAGTTTTCAAGGTAGAATTAAGGAAGCTAGTCAGGCCAGCACTAGAGGATGAATCTGCCAGTTGCAATTTCCCTGCCATGTGAGGGCGCCAATCAGCAACAGGAGAAAAAGGGAGGCTGATGTGCAGACAGACTAGAAAGTCTAATTGCCTAAGGCCTGGGAGACATTCCCCTTCCCATGATTTGGTTGTACTATCTTGTCTTGGATCCATCAGCCAACATATTGCTCTGGTGGCCAGAGCTACATTGGAGTTCCATTACTTAAATAAAAGGACAAGGGAACAGGCTGAGAAACAGGCTTAGGGCTTCATTCTGCAGGCAGTGGGATCTACCAAAGGCTTTTCAACAGGAGAGAGAGACACACGCACACATTTCAATTCATGTTTTTGGGAGAAAAAAAGTTTGAAGATGGTGTGGTGGATGCAAAAGGAAGTGAGTTTGAGAAGACCAATGAGGACAACGTGAACTTGGGCCTGGCACATGGTGAAAGCTCAGGCACACAGGTGAACACACATACACATGCGCATGCTCAGGGTCGTTTGTTCCACACTAGGTAGAACCAAGATTCACGCAATATTCTCCCTCAGTGGTGGCTGTAAATGTCCCTGCCCAGCAGCGACAGAGCACTCACCGTAGCTGCTGTGTTTATGTAGTAGTTGTTCTGGCCTTTGAACTCAGACACGATGGTGGCGTGGGCTTGCAAGACAGCAGCACTCATGTACAGGATGCCGGTGGCCCCTTCATACAGACTGTCCTGGAAACACAGAGCAGAGGCCACAGCCACAGTCATGGGGCACTTCAACAGATGAGCATTTTTCTGAATATACAAACAGACAAGCTCCATCTTCCAAGCTCCTACTTCCATTTGCAGTATTTCTACTGGAAATATCCATCTAGTGAACAATAACCCAAAGAACCCCAAACCTACTGCCATTGAGTCGATTCCATCTCATAGAGACCCCATATGTAGTACTGATCTTTAGGGTTTTTAAGACTATAGTCTTTATGGGTGCAGACAGCCTCATCCTTCTCCCATGGAGCTGTTGGTGGATTTGAACCGCTGACTGTGTGGTTAGCAGCCCAATGCTTAACCCACTTTGCCACCAGGGGTCCTTAGTGAACAATTGTTGTTGTTAAGTTCCTTTCATTGGATTCCGCCTCTGTATAGGGTTTCTAAGGAGCAATTGGTGACTTTGAGCTGCCAACCTTGTGGTTCAAACAGACCTTGCAGTCCAGTGCTTACCCTAGAACACCATATCAGTACTGGACACCAATGAACAATAGGGGAATTAATAAATGGTGATAATAATATCAATACCAGTCAACATTTATTGAGTGCTTTTTCCACGACGAGCTCTATGCTAAGCCTTTTCTCCCTTATTTCATTAATCTTGTCAACTATGAGGTAGGTACTGTTTATCATTAGCCTTATTTTGAGGAAATTGAAGATTGAGGTTAAAGCTGATGGATAAAAACTAAGTCAGGATTTGAATTCCAGGCCACATTTGTTCCAAGCTTATCTTCTTAATCACTGACATTCTGAAGACCTACTCTGTTGGGTAAGGGGCTCTGGTAACGTAGTGGTTATGAATTGGGCTGCTAACCTCAAGGTCAGCAGTTCGAAACTACCAGCTGTTCCACGGGAGAAAGAGGAGGCTTTCTGTTCCTGTAAAGATGTACAGCCTCGGAAACCCTGTACAGGGTTGCTATGAGTCAGAACCGACTCCACGGCACATCACCACCACCACCACTTTGTTGGGTGTAGTTTCATTTAATGCTCACAGTCAATTCTAGGAGGTAACTACTATTATTATCCCTGATTTATAGATGAGGACACTGGTGCATAGCTAACATATAGTAGAGTTGGTAAAGTCAGGCTGGTCTGATTTCAGATTTCAGTTTTTGAATCTTTATGCTATATTCCCGTGAGTATTCTTCTATTCAACAACACTATTGCTTAGTCACAAACAGCTATCAAGCCTAGAAAGAATGCTTTAATTGTCAAATCTGCATTTTATAATCCCAAATGAAATACTTGATTGAGGAAACATCAATTAAAGAAAGAGTTAAGGGGCTCAGGCTGTCACCACCCCCAAGAGAGGGACCACCCATTACCATACGTGAAAATGTTTGAAAAGCATTAGTGCCAGAAGTGTTTAGCAGGTACCCAATTAAACCTTTGGTGCACACTTCCAGTTGGCAAAAACCACAGGGACCAGAGGAAGACAGCAAATAACACAAAGAAGGAGCCAATAAATCCAAAATGCTGTCCCTTCTCCAACACAGCTGATCTGGTTTCTTTAACAGAATGAAGGTCATTCTAGATATCCAAGAACCTTAACAACCCAGTGCAATATATGACCCTTGTGGGGAGCCTGATTCAAACAAGCCAACTGAAGAAAAGACATGTGGGAGAGAGCTAGGGGAATCTGTATGTGAATTGGGTCTCAGATGAAAGGTTGCATGTTTTGAGGGGATATTCCAAAGTGTATGGAATGGAAAGACAAGATGTCTGGGGTTTGTTTTAAAATTCTTTAGGTGGGGAAAAAAAGACTAGCTGAGGCAAGTATGGCAAAATCTTGATGATGCTAGAATCCAGGTTGTAGGTACAAGAAGGTTCATGATACACCTGTCCATTTTTGTGCTCGTTTTAAGTTGGTCAATATAGAATATGTTTCAATGGCCATCAAGATGATATGGCAAAATGAAAAATTAATTATGTAACATCAAATGGAAGAATTTACATCCAAACCTCTTTGGTCAATGTGATCATATTTATATGTGTGTGTGTATGTGTTGGGGAGCTCAGTGAATAAGCACTGGACTACGAAACACAGGCTTGGTGGCTAGAGACCACCAGCTGTTCTGAATGAGAAACTCCTGAAAAGAGTTTTAAAATTTTGGAAACTCTATACATGGTCGCTATGAGTCAGAACCAACCATTAACTTAAGTTAATGTTGTTGTGTTGTTGTGAAGTGCCATTGAGTCAGTTCCGACCCATAGCAACCCTGTATAGGGTTTCCAAGGAGCAGCTGGTGAGCTTGAACCACCAACCTTGCAGTTCAAACAGCTTTACAGTCTGGTGCATTAACCCACAGTGCTACACCAGGTGCCATCAGATTGGTTTAATATTAGACTCACTCGACTCAACAGTCCTGGTTCTCTATGGACTTGGTCGGTTCTCTGCTCCCTGGTCTCTGGTTCTCCCTCCCCACCTAGGTCTTCGCCTGTTGTTCTCACCATTCCCAGAGCATCAGTTCAGGAGGAGCCTCCTGTGGTTCTTACCAGGACTCTCCAGGAATCATATTTTTTGTAAAATCCAAACAAGTAAGAAAGCAGGAACATCAGGGAGATGAAGAACGAGGTGAGTGAGACATATAGCACCCATCCTTGCAGCAGTGGGTTTGCTACCTGGGTGGCGGCTACCAGGATCCAGACCCAGCACCCAAATATCTGTAAAAGAACACACAAGAGGCTTCATTGGTTGTGAGAAGCACTCTTCCCTTTGCAGGGCATCTCTTTTCTCCTCCATCCCTGGTTAAAACACTTCAGTTGAAGTTAGGTGGGAGCCCAGAAGGACATGGGAAAGAAGACTTGCCCCTCGGGGCACAGTCAAGTCAGGTCCTATTGTCAGAAATGAGGCCTCTGGGTGGACCAAATGGCTTGCACTTGGCTACTAAAGAAAAATTTGGAGGTTCAAAACCAACCCAATAGCACTGCAGGATGCCTGGTGATCTGCTTCTGTTGATTGCTGTCATTGTTAAGTGCTGTTGAGTCAGTTCTGACTCACAGCGACCCTGCATAGGGTTTCCAAGGAGCTGTTGATGAGTTTGAACTGCCACATTGTGGTTCATATGGACCTTGCAGCATAGTGATTATCCTACAGCACCCCATCAACATCATTAAGATGATAGCCCCCAAATCCCTATAGAACTCAGTTCTCCTGTGTAATGGACTCTCCATGAATCAGAATTGACTTGACCAGTAACAATTTTTTGTTGTTAGAAAATTCAAGGAGCTAACACAGTGGTTGCAAACAAAGGGAATCTAGGCCAAATTCGGCCCACAGAATTTATTCTTGGCCCAAACAGTATTGACATGTATAATTAATTTTTTTTTAATTCTGAATAAATTGCTAGCATTTAAAATAGGATATTTCATATGAAAGCACCAGATTTCAGACATTGCTTGAGAAATCCATAGTGGTGGCCACAGTGACCCTATTTCCCAAGCCACCGTAGGTGGGAATGAGTTGTGATTGCCCTTTTAGAAAGGGCTTGGAGTCCTTAGTGGGCCACATCCCCCAGCCTTCCCAACATCGTGTCATCGTTTGGTACATTCAAGGCTGCTCACGTATGCTGTGGAATAATACTCTCCTTTTCACCCACTGGCAATGCCTGCCTGGCCTTGTGCTTGGAGCCCCTGGGTTATGGTACCTGATCCCAGCTGGAGTCACTAGCAGGACAATGGGGTTCCACCACTCAACTTTGTCCAGCTACTTACTCCTTGTTGGATAAACCAAATCTTTGTCTTGTTCTCTCTCTTGGCTCTTTGGGACTGGGTTTGCACCCGTATGATGAGCCCAGGGAAGGAACTGAATGTCCAGCAGATGGTATGTCCAAAATGCAGCTTGGAAGGAGAGGACTGGCGCTACCACCAAGAGGTTTTGTTGTTTGTCCAGACTTTCTGAGCTCCTCTTTTCTGGGGCCTCCTTAGGATGTTATCACATTTCTATTTAGTTCTCCCTCTCCTCATTCCTATTAAACCCGTGCTTCTAATAAGTACCACATGGGTCGGGGAGCCCAGACATCCACCTCCAGCCCATTTCTCTCTGGTCTTCAGACTACATACCCAACTTCCTCTGGATATCTCTACTTGGATGTGCCTCCCCATGTAAACAACACTGAGAGTGGATGCCAAATGGAATGTGGCACCCGAGGCCTTTCACTGGCCTTACCCAAGTCCTGACTCCACCCTTCAGGTACAAAATATATGTATCTTCTGGGCATCAAGTTATCACCACTTCCAAATTTTTTCAGAGTCCACCTTCCTCAGGATCTACTGAGTAAGAACCCATCTGGGAGGGAGAGGGTGATGGTATTGGGAATGGGTGTACAGGGGCCATTGCACATAATGATAATATTCTATTTCTTATGCCCCATGAGGGATACACAGGAGCTCAGTCCTTATAAAGTATTCAAATAATCTTGGAAAATAAAAACATCCTACGAGGCTTGAAGATCACTGACAATTTGGGGTGATGGGGATGGTGCTTGGATTTGTGGTTTGGAGGCACCACGGAGTCAGATGTGGAAAATAATCTTGTGTTTCAGAGTTTCCTTCTGGGATCATATCCTTTCTTCTGAAATATGAAGATAAGTAAAAAAATACTGCTACTAAGTATACACTTCTGAAGGCAGTGTTTTCATTTCGCTAAAAGAATTCTGTATTCTTTTATTTACATACCCCAGGGGCCTCCTTGAGAGAGTTAGTCTTCCTTTTCAATGTTCTTTGAGTTTGGGGAGCACACAGAAGTCTGAAGAGGTAAGATCAGGGATTTAGGATAGATGGGGCAAGCTTTCCAACAAAAGTCTCTTGGGACAGCCCTTGCTATACTTACAGAATGAGCAGGTGCATTGTCACGATGGAAAAAATTCTTTGGGGAAGTTTCCTTATCTTTTTCTCACCATGGCAGTTGTCAGTTTTCTTACAGCTTCTTTCTAATAAGCCCCTATGATCATCCTGTGTCCTTTAGGAGAATTACCAAGATTACCCTTTGGGATTCCCCCCAAAATCAGTTACCATAATCTTCTAAGCTGACCTCTCTGCTTTGATTTTGGTGTGGTGCTGTGGGTTAATGTGCTAGACTGCAAGGTCAGTTTGAACTGCAAGGTCAGTGGTTCAAGCTTACCAGCTGCTCCTCAGAAAGCCTTTACAGGGTCACTGTGAGTCAGAACCTGCAATATGCAGACAATACAACCTTGCTTGCTGAAAGTGAAGAGGACTTGAAATACTTAACTGATGAAGATCAAAGAGCACAGCCTTCAGTATGGATTGCATCTCAATGTAAAGAAAACAAAAATCCTCAACACTGGACCAATAAACAGCAGTCTTATCAATGGAGAAAAGATTGAAGTTGTCAAGGACTTCATTCTTCTTGGATCAACTATCAACATTCATGGAAGCAGCAGTCAAGAAATCAGACGACATATTGCATTAGGCAATAAGACCTTTTTAAAGTGTTGACGAGCAAAGATGTCAGCTTGAGGACTAAGGTGCACCTGCCCCAAGCCATGGTATTTTCAATAATCTCATATGCATGTGAAAGCTTGACAGTGAATAAGGAAGACCATAGAAGAATTGATGCTTTTGAGTTATGGTGTTGGAGGAAAATATTGAAAGTGCCATAGACTGCTAAAAGAACCAAGAGATCTGTGTTGGAAGAGGTGCAGCCGGACTGTTCCTTGGAGGCCAGGATGGCCAAACTTCGTCTCTCATACTTCAGATATATTGTCAGGAGAAACCAATTGCTGGAGAAGGATATCATGTTTGGTAGGGTGGAGGGTCAGAGAAATAGAGGAAGACCCCCAGTGAGATGGATTGGTAAAGTGGATGGGCTCAAGTGTGGCAACAATTGTGAAGTTAGCCCAGGATTGGGCAGTGTTTCATTTTGTTGTGCATAGGGTCTCTATGAGTTGCTACCGACTCAATGGTACCTAACAATAACAACATGAATTGGAATCCACTCAAGGACACTTAACAACAACAACTAGATCTCCTTGGAAACCACTGTTTTGATTGGACCTTTTTTTTTTTTTTTTTTGAAGGCACCCTAATAAGACTAAGACAAGTGTATTACTGTTACTGAACCAACAACTTGTCTGCAGCCAGCCACTGATCCCAGAGACACGTTACAACACATTTTATTTGTAATAACTCCATGCATATATGAACTGTAGCCCTAGTAGCAATACTGTTTAACTTAAACCTGTACAACCCTTAGAAGTTTCTTTATAATCAAAGTTGTCAGTTTGTTTCTCAGAGGGAAAGTTGAGTGATTGGAACTGCTGTCTTCCAGCTCCCTAGAACTGGGCTCTTGTCTGTTCATCCCATGGACCCAGGCTGCTGAAGCTGTCGGGAGGTGCCAGGGCTTGGCTGGTAGGGCACCTGCCAAGCGTCCCACGCCAACCTGTGGGAAGTGCGTAGAAATGCTGGCACAAAGTAAGCATCCAAACAATGCTAACTAGTGGTACTCAGGATTTTGTGGCTGCACCCACAATTATAAAATCTTAGAGTCACATTGGACATCTGACAACAGAGCCCGGGACCATGCCAGCACAGGTCCTAGGATGCAGCAGGTGGGGAAAGGGCTCAAAGAACATTTTTTTAAAGTGAATCTATACCACCACCAGTACCTCCCATTGACCAGATGCTGTTCACATTCGTTCAGATTGCCTCATTTAGCCTGTACAATTCTAACTCCCTCCAGGCTTCCAGGACCAGAGAGCTACCCCTTGTTTACTGCCACCTCACCTGTGCCAAACCTGGAGGCCTCAGCACCTCAGCTCCATTCAGCCTCTGTCAGTCCCTGCAAAAAGGTTCTTGTCCCCTCCAGCCATCACAGACTGCTCTGACACAGTCGTGTGTGTGGTTTGCCTGTTTATTTCTTATCACAATCCAGTACTAATACTGTTGTTGTTAGTTGCTGTTGCATTGACTCTGACCCACAGAACAATACTCCATAGGATTTTCAAGGTTGTGATCTTTCAGAAGGAGATTGCCAAGTCTTTCTTCTGAGGTGCCTCTGTGTGGGTTCAAACTGCCAGCCTTTAAGTTTGGAGTCAAATGCTTAACCATTTGTGCCACCTGGAAACCTTATATTTGTTCATTTATACTTGAGGAAACTGAGACCTGAGGCAACCTAGGCAATCTCCACTGGGGTCCAAGTATAGTTTAGGAAATTTGTGGTCTCTCCCCTGAACCAGATTTCCAAACCCAAGGGCAGGAGCAGGCAGAGGGCCCTGAGTGTGCTTAGAACGGCCTGTGGATCCCCAGCAGGAGTGGGCTGAACTAAAGGCCTTGATGAGGGTCTCACACTGGTCCAGTCTCACAGGACCCATGGGTGGTCTTCTACTTCGGTCTCAGCAATGGTTTAGGGATCCCTGGCCCCACATGTACAATTAAGACAAACCAAGGACTTTCAAAGGTTGGTATTCTACTCAAGATGCATGGGAATCTTTTGAAATGGCTTTAGCATTGCATACAAATTATAAGAATAGGAGTGTTGTTTATTTTTTATTTCCACACAGTTTTATTTCTAAATAGTAGGAGGAATTGGGGTCCAGGGTGAGTTGCAGGTCAATGTAAGCCTAGTAGAGTTCATTACCTCCTGCCTGTCTTGAGCAGTTTAGGTTAGATTTTTGCAGGTATGAGAACTTCAAGAATTTGTCTTCAT